GAAACTCCCATGAGTCACTAAGGAAGTCTCACAGGCTAGGAGGGAGTGTCTCAGAGAGGAGACACCCTGAGTGCCTGCAACAGAGAAAGGAACAAGCTGGGCTGAGTGGAGAATCTGAAGGGCTGGGAAGATGGGGCTCCTCATCTCTATTTGCAGAACCCTCCTCAATGTGTAACCTTTCTCCTCCTTGTTCCCCAGCTTCACCACCAAAAGGGGAAAGACTATCTGTGCCAACCCCAATAACGCGGAAGTTCAGGATTGTGTAACAAAACTGAAGCAGGTTCAGGATCTGGAGTAACCTGAGCAGGATTCATTTGAGCTACTGAACAAATTGTTGACTGATAAGAAGGGATACTAGGTCCCAGCCACCCATCTCCATTCTCTCTTTCCTCACCTCCTGGAAGCTTCTTGGACTGAATTATTTTTTTCAAAAGCAAGAATTACTGTTCTACTCTGGTTATAAAAGCTGTGTATTAATAAAACGTATTCAGCTCTAGCTGGTTTGGCTCAGCGGATAGAGGATTGGCCTGTTGGCTGTTACTTTCCACCTCTGGGTTAGACAGTGCTTCAGGTCCCTTTAAGAAAGTCCTTGCAGTTTCTGTTCAGTCACAGATGGTGACAATGGTGGGACATAAAAGGATCCAGGAAATCTCAGTTCTTTCTCATCATTAATGTTTCTATCTCTCTCTCCCTCTCCCTTACACTCTGAAATCATAAAAATATATTAAAATAAATAAATACATAAATACAAAATAAAACGTATCCAACTTAAAGTCACTTTACTTTTGAGAGGAAAACGCAATGAAGGAATTACTGAACTTTGGATTTGTGTTTTTCAAAATGAGACATCAGATTATCATTTTTTAAGAAGCTAAAAACATGACTCATTCAGCCCTGGCCAGCGTGGCTCAATGGTTAGAATGTAGGCCCTCACACCAAAGGGTCTTAGTTTTAACTTCCAGTCAACAGCAGTACCTGTTTTGCAGGTTTGATCTTGACCTGAAGGGGCGCATGTGGATGGCAATGAGTAGATGCATCTCTCTCATATTGATGTTTCTGTTTCTCTCTCTCTCTCTCTCTCTCTCTCTCTCTCTCATCTCTCTTCCCTCCCCACCTCCTTTCCACTGTAAATGGGAAAAAATAGCGAGTAAGAATTTAAAAAATAAATAAAAATTATAAAAAAATGACTCATTCAGCCGAACAGGTTTGGCTCAGTGGATAGAGCGTCGGCCTGCGGACTCAAGGTTCCCAGGTTCGATTCTGGTCAAGGGCATGTGTCTTGGTTGCGGGCACATCCCACTGGGGGTTGTGCAGGAGGCAGCTGGTTGATATCTCTCATTGATGTTTCTAACTATCCCTCTCCCTTCTTCTCTGTAAAAAATCAATAAAATATATTTTTTAAAAAAACATGACTCATTCAAATTTGACAGATCGCATATATGTCAAATATGTACTTAACCTATTATTTAGGGAACCATAAAACTGATTCTATTATCGTATGAGGAACAAAGATACACAGTTATAGTTGGGGGTGGCATTCTGAAATTTGGTTAACTTAGAGAAAATAAAGTAATATTCAATATTGCAATATAACTGTAACTTTTGCAATTATCTTTTCTACCGAAAAACACACACACACACATTTGCATCTGTGCTGGACAAAAATCTACCAGTTAACATGTAAGTGCACAAAGTTTGCGGTCTAACCAATAGTATATAGAGCATCAATCAAAAGTTCATTCCTGGCAGCGCTCCCACCACTGGTAGCGACGGATCAATGCCCTTTGATTTTAGGAGGTCTAGTCTGTGAATCTCACTGCTGGTGGCCCCCTGGGGGACTCACCTGCACATCTCAGGTGAC